CATCTTGATTTCTTTTTTTTTCCTTTTAAAGAGGGGTGGGTGACACGGGTGGCCTGGAGCCCCAAGAGCAGCCCAGCTGCCTGGTGTCTTCCCAGCGCTGCAGTCCTGGCTGGGCTCCCTCAGCAGGCGGGAGGGAGGAGCACCACTCGCTCCGGGGCCAAGACATCTCTCGCTCTCCTGAAGTGTGTGCATTGCCAGCTAGGCAATTGCTAAAGTAATTTACACGCTACAGCTAAGGATGCTCAAGGTGAGAAGAGGGAGCCTGTGTGCCCGCCCAGCTTCGGATGAGAAGCCTGCATCGGCTTCAAGGCCAGACTGCACTAGGTCACGTACCGGGTCTCCCAGGCACCTGCTCATTATCCCCCAAAGTCACCCGGCTTGTCTGGGTTCTGGGTACAGTGACCACACTTGTAACATCGAATGCCCTACAGCATACGGTCTGGGAGGGGAAGGGGGATCCTAACCTGCCGGTCCTTGACTTTGCGTGATGCGTGATGTGTGATACAGTCACCGGCTTTTGAGAAACACTGATGCCCCGCCCCCACCCCAAAGCCACTCATTTCTTTGTTCAAGGGGTGGGGCCCAGGTCTCAGTGTTTGTTTTAACTCACTTCCTGCCCTGATTCTAACATGTAGCTGGGGCCGAGGGTCCCACTCAAGAATGGCAAGGCCTTTGAAACCAGCCAGCTCTAGGTGAAAGTCTGGACTGTGCCCCTGTGCAACGCTGGGCAGGCTCCTTAACCTGGGTCTCTAACAGATGGCCCCTATTTACTTTTATTTTTTATTTAAAATTTTTTTTTTATTTTGAGAGAGCAGGCAGGGCAGGGGCAGAGAGAGAATCCCAAGCAGGTTCCACACTGCGGTGGAATCCCAAGCAGGTTCCTGTCACCGCAGAGCCCAGTGCAGGATTTGAACTCACAAACTGTGAGATCATGACCTGAACCGATATCGAGAGTCAGATGCTTAACCAACTGAGCCACCCAGGCGCCCCAGATGGCCGCTTTTTTTTTTTT